AATGTTACTCCACATTTTCGACTTGAAATTGATTAAATGTTTAGAATAAAATAAAGAAACCCGAAATTTTACACATAAATTGCAAAAGTCATCCTACGGACCGTATCGAAAAATTCTGCACAAGTTAGTATTTCACTTGTCTTATTTTATACGTGTATTTTGTGGTACTATTAGTTAACAATAAAAAACGAGCTTGAAAATTGATAGTTGATAGTACGACTTGGATAAGTAGAAGTAACGCTTAATGGTCAGACGTGCCATCTAAACCCTGTTTATTAAAAAATGAAGCACGATACAGAAAAATGGTACTCCACATTTTCGACTTATGATTGATCAAACGTTTAGCCTAAAATAAGAAAACCCAAAATTTTAATATTTGACATAATTTACTTTATACGTGTATTCTGATGTACTACTAATTTACACTAACGTTTGTTTAGGTCGAAAAGTATATAAAATTTTGAAATTAACGTTTGACGCTATCTCTTCGTAAAAGTTTATAACAACCGCGTGGTATCTAAAATTCAAGCAAATCTCTGGCATGGACCTGGCAAAGTGATCGATCTGGCATTGAATGACCCAGCCAGAACTTACAACCAGCGGTCTACGCGACATTCGATTCGATCGCGTCCGCAGAAACGCGAGTGGAATTAAACGATACGACGAAGCCGCAATTATCCACTTAAAAGCGTCCGTGGTTCTCAAAAACGCGAGCCGCGTGAAACAAGACCGGTCGTTTCTATTACAATCACCTTGTCTCGGGGAATTCGAAAACCAAACGGACGAATTAACGCCCTTGGACGGGGACAGGACAAGTTGCAACGTATTGTTTTATTTTAAGAAGAGGGGGGGGCTCCTAGGAGCTCGCCGTGAATCGCGAGTTTTATTGGAAATTGAGCCAATTAGAGTACTTGAGTTAACGACCTATCGCGATACGGTTGCGTCGTCGTTCCCGTTTTTAAACGAACGTGACATCATGAACTGCTTGCTTTTACGCGCTCGTACATCTGCTCTTATTGGGAATGGTCTTCGAAGCGGTCTCGAAACGTCTATCTGATATCCGCGTGTTGCCAGAACGGTGAAAAATGTCTCTCTTTACGCGACAATACAGAGCAAAACGATGAGCCACGCAACTCGATCAGCTTAATCTGTTCTATTACCGATGGTCCGTTAAAAGTGTTTTTCGTCTATCGTGACGTGGTTTAAGGAGAACTTTGAGGCGAGCATCAACCACATGTTGCTTTAATACGAGTCGCTTAAAAGTTGATGGTTCCTGGATAATTCGAATCGTTTAAACAGTGTTGTTTCACGTATAAGCACACGACCTAACTCGATATATTCAAAACCAGCGGTTAAGTACATGCTAATGAGCTGTATAGCGATTGTTTTCACGTATAATAGCGTCTGACTGTATTGTTTGACTGTTTGCATCTCGCCGTCTGTTTTACTCACACTCGGTGCCTCTGTTGTTCTCCCCCTAACGTTTAGGTTTCCCTGATTAGTGTGTTTGTAGACAGTGGTGGTAACTGTGGTTGTTCTGTAAGGACCAATTCACGATACCGATGCTATTAGACGTTCGTCTATGCGACACGGGGCTCTCGATCGATCGCGAAGCAACGTACCTCGGAACGTTTCGATCGTAAAATCTGGATTCGATGTACCGTGGGTTCTTTATTTCGATCGTTTGGCGAATGTATGTTCCAGCAGAGCGAGAGAATCGGTTTCCCTTCGACTTAGGAAGCCTCGAGCTGGGATTCCTCGAAGTTAGACCACGAAACGTTATATGAACTCTCATCGACGGAGCTCGAGCACGTGCTGTGTGCAGCTGTCAAAGAATCCCAGGTTACCAGCGGTCTGAACGCAATAAACCTAAACCTCGAGGCGCGAGGGTTTTCGAGGACCTCGTTTACTTGATTTGTTCCGGAACAATAAGTTGGATCTAGACAGCGAGCAAATCAGGCTCGGTTTAGATATAGGCCTCGAGTAGGTGTGCGATACAACTTGAAAGCAAATTACAACAGAGTCGTGAACGAGGTACACGGTTACACACGCCCGTATTCGTGCACTATAATGGTACACTATAGTGGTGATTCGCTATAAACGAAAACAAAAATCGTTACCTGCGAATCGAGTTATTTTTTGAACAGGTACAAGTCCATTTTTAAATACACAAAGACAAAATAAAGTGAGAGTACTCAATGAACCAGTTAGTCATTACTAGTATACTAATAAAAAAATTTGGAAAGAAACAGAAGCTCCCTTTTGTTTATAGCGAACACGAGTAACCGTGTCACTCTTCTAAATCTGATGCGGCTTAGTGTATGTTACGCGATCCAAGAGCGAGACAAATTCCTTCCGATAAGATGTTTTACGGGCAATTAATCCAGTAAAACGATCGTTGCAATTATAAGCACGATAAAACCGTGGGAAATAAAACGGTTACTTTTCTCGATGGCTGCAAACTCCCGCGGAGAATGATTGAAACGTCTGAAGCAACAGTACGTCTCGCTAGATATAGAAAAGTGTACATTAGTAGAATAATTCTATACATTCCCCGAAAGAGGCTATCATTAAAATCGATGCAATTCAAATACGAAATTGTTAGCGATTAATGGCTAGTCATGGCCAATGATTACATTCGATTTGGTTATTTAAGTTAGTCATTAACAATGGTTACCGATTGCTCTTTAATCATTGGTTCGATTAACCCCTTGCCCTACGATTTAAAGTTCAACAGCGTTGAGTCCGAAATTTAAACAAAACTGCTCGGCCTTTGAGCCATTCCACGGCCTCACGCGTGATAATCAGTCTTGGCCAGAATACCTGACCCTCGAGTCTCACACGTGATAATCAGTCTTGGTCAAAATACCCGACCCTCGAGTCTCACACGTGATAATCAGTCTTGGTCAGAATACCTGACCCTTGAGCCTCACGCGTGTTAATCAGCTTTGGCCAAAATACCCGACCCTCGAGTCTCACGCGCAACCATCAGTCTTGGCCAGAATACCTGACCCTCGAGTTTCACGCGTGATAATCGGTCTTGGCCAGAATACCTGACCCTCGAGTCTCACACGCGGTTGTAGGGCAAAGAGTTGAACGGTAATTATTACACCTTTTCGACACGGACTCGGTGCGAGGAAATTTAGAATTTCTATTGCAACGAGCGTCGAGGTCTGGCGAACGGAAAATTTCGCAAGAAGCAAAAACATCGGTGGAAAAGTCTGGATCGAATCCCACCGTCGCGATTCCTTTTTTCATGAAACTTTTATACAGAGCCGAGAATTTATCCACTTTTTCGCTTATCCTCGAGGTCTTCCGCGTCCCGAGAATCCTATTTCTATCCTCGACAAAGCGGATCGTATCTAAATGTCTGCTGGTTACCGTATTACCCGCCATTCTCTATCGCGGAAGCTCTCTCGCGTTTTCTGCACGAGAAGGAAATTTGTGCCCGGCCCTTTCCGAACGGGAGACGGTAAACCGACGCACTCGAGCCTCGCCGGAAAATAGAGTTTTAATTCCGTTGATATCCTCGAAGCAGTTTCCTCCCACCGTGGAAATAATTCGCTCGCTCGTTTACCAACAGCGAGGCTGAAAGGGGCCCGGAAACACGATATGTTTCATTTTACGGCGAAGAAAACAAAGGCAGAATCGAGCTCCAGTTTCCGTTCGAGCCATTTTTACGTTACGTTGCTCGCGGAACAGGTTGTTCCCGCGTTTCGATATAATCGCGACTGCGATCCCGTCGTCCAACGGCGAACAAAAATTCCCGATTTTATAAAGCTTGGTACCAAAGCTAGTTTATGAATTTATTGTTATTTTTTTTCATCAGCATCCCCTTTTTCGGGTTTTATTCAGTTCGCGCGCGTATGCAAACTTCGTTCGAGACTGTTCGATGTTCCAGTGACTGGTATTACTTGTGACTCTGTTTTGTTTCGATCTCTATTTCCAGAGGTATGTAGTTCCCTATTTGTTCCGTCTATATTTGTACTGCGAATTCCAGTGCCCTCCAGGTTTGGGTCATTGATTTTAATAGAAATTTGAAACTACGATCGACAGTAAACGAACACGAATTATTCTTTCTTGTAGCATCGATCGAATTGAGGTCTCGCGAAGAAACAACTAACGTTTCAGGAATAGCTAAAATCAGGATCGAACGTGGCAGAGGGGTAAATTGCCACTCGTCGAGGTAGGTCAGCGAGCTTGAATCGTTCTCGGAACTTATTTCCCTGCGGTAAAAAGAAGATCGACGTTCACAGGGCGCAGAGATTAAGCAAATTACACGCGCTGGACGAAGATCGATGACGGTGAAATGCCGCGCGCGTATTGTCCAGAACCGGCGAACGCGTAGATCGGAATCGTACAAACATCCAAGCAATGCGAACAGTAGCGTGGACAACGTATCGCCTCAATATTGACGGCGCAATATCTTGGACCGATCGGTCGATTGAACATCGTAAAGCTCACCGTGCGAGTAACGCGATCGTCCGGCGTTAAATGTTTATTTACCGCCCGAGGAGTACAGGGATCGCAAATGTTTAGCCGGATTCGATCGGTCTTTGCAGGCCCTCGAGCACGCCGGACACGCTCGTACAATCAACTCCGTCCGTGGACGACGATCGAGAACGGTCAGGGAGAAGCTCGGAGAACACGATGGAAGGTCACTTTCTCAACCTATATTCTATGGATCGTAGAGAAGACTGGAATCGTAGGTTATGGACCACCCGTGGCTCTCGAGGTCAAAGACCACAGGGTAAATTGCGAGTCTTTTGCCCGAAAGTGATGAAACCGTCGCGATGGAAACGAGGAAGTGTACACTCCTGGTGGTCGGAGTACCCTAAGGTGGATCAGGCGAAGAGGACAATAACCGAATACTAGGTCGAGCTTGTGTCTACGCTTTCGTGGTCAGCTGCTCGTAATACACCCAGAACGTTCGACGACCGAGAGAACCAGTAGTTCGGTCCGTTTGTAGTCAGACAGCGAATCGAACGTCCATCGCATACCTGAGTGAAGCATGAACGCGTACAGCGCTACCAGCCTGGACAGCAGGGTCCCGTGGATCATCTCGAGCTGCATCCTCGACGGCTGTCCCCGCGCCATCGATCATAGACGATCCCGAAATCTCGTTCGAGTCGTCACTGGTTAGCCATGGTCGTCCGCTACCAGCTTACCAGTTTAACACTGTTCACGCACACGCTTGAGAGGGAAATCGATCTCTCTCACTCTCTCTCTCCTTCACGCACCCACACATACACACCCACACACACACACACTCTCTCTCTCTCGCTCTTGTTCTCGTCCCCGTGTCCTTTGGCGTCCTACGGTCTCTCGAACGCACACCACGACCACAACGACTACGACGACGACGACGACGACGACGACGACGGCGACGACCTTCGGGGACGGTCAGCAGGTGTCGGACCGGCACATTGTCGTCCACGTTCCACCGTTGCACTAATCGAAAATCTATACTCGGGGCCGTAGAGTAGCGGCAGCTACTGCGGCATAGGCACACACCAGCAGGAACAGGAGGCGGCGTTGCGTTGCTGGCTGCTGCTGCTGCTACCACTGACGCTCGTCCGTTCGTGGTGGTGGTGGTGCTGGTAGCGACACGACGGGGGTGGGGGTTGGCGGTCGTGGAGCAAGAGAAGGGTGGCGTAGGACCACCCGGGAGCGCAGCGGCAGAGACGGAGACGGGAACAGGGAGCGGATCGACGCGAACGACGGAGACGGGGCGATTTCGAGTCGGTTCCTGGGCGACTGCGCCGTCCCCCAAGTCGATGATCGCTGCAAAATTCACCGTCTCGCTCTGCCGCTGCGCGGGGGAACCTCTTTCGCTGCGTTGCGTGTGTGTGCAGGCGCTAACGAAATTGGGGGAAATACGGTACGCTCCAGGGGCTAGACCCGCTCCCGGCGACTCTTCCGTCAGAAATTATGCGGATTTTTCGTGCCGACCGATTATTTCCCGGTCTGTGGATTCAACGGATCGTACACGGGGCCAGGCCCCGAGAAGCTTTGTTGGCCACTTGTTCCTCGTAATTGATCCTGCCGGGTGGCGGACGGCACCCTGTCGACGGCCTGCCTACCAACGCGCATACCCGCCTGCAAACCAGCTACCACGATTGTTTAACGCTACCGGTGCCCTTTGAAATCGGTCCAAGATTCCAACCTTACCACTCTTCTACCAAGTATCTTGAATCTGTCTTGGTGGATCTGGGAGCTTTAACGCTTTGCCTGACCGATTGGATCTTCTTTCCAACGTTACTCGTTGTAAGCTTTTATTAACTGCTACTGAACGAGAGTTTATTTTTTATGAGATTTACCAATCTTCGATGTTTGGTATAATATTATTATGTACGATCGATTCTGTTCTACCGCCCTCCTCCATTTCTCTGGAAGTCTCATGGTCTTTCCGCAATTTCTGGTGTTTACTTGCAACATATTGTTCGGAGTTTCTATATTTTATGTAGATCTTTCCAGAATTTCTGATGTTGTAGAATATTGTTCGAGATGGTCTTTTATTTCATTATTTGAGATCACTTATGTTGCTAGCCTCGTGTATACTCTTTTATTTACATTTATGTGTATTTAACAATCGTATGTATACGGAAAATTTCTATTTTCTTCCTGTTCCTGACACTCAACAGGAAATATCGAAAGTATATGGAAGTTTCAGGCATACGAATTTCCGATACCGATACTTTTGTAGCGAATACTTGATCGGTATGGGTAACTGCATAATGCAGAGTAGGCGTCGATACTCTTGTAAATGTTTATGGGAATGGAGAGCAACGGGAATGCGAGATCCGTGTCTGCGATGCGAACGCAAACCCGTATTCGGATAATATTCGTCGAGTATTTTCAAATTTGGAGTATCAACCCCGTTCATCTTGAAAACGAGTGGGTACACGCGTTTAAAAGAGGGGTGTATTTTAAATACCCCCTCGAGAGCTACAATTTGAGGTACGTTACATTAAAAAAGCACGTTTCCACTCCTGACCCTCCCGTTGGATGGGAACAGTGGAAACCTTCCCTCCCTCGCAAGGGAGATTAATAACGAAGTGTCCAACGCCAATTTTGTTCTCCTTGAGATATTCTGTTCAGCGGTAAAACCCAAGGGGCGCGTATTTTTTATTTGTGCTGGATTTTAAGCTTGCAGGGGCGAAACAACCTCCGTAAAAAATTGGAAAATGTCGCTCTTCGAACGGCGTATTTCACCTTCTTGAGCTTGGGAATAAATATCGGCTCGAGTGTCGCTAATTTCTCAAACCGTGAAAGGAAGGGTTTGAAACGGTCAGATACGCATTAATCGTAAGTCGTGCAATTACTCTGCATTCCTAAAAAGTTGGCCAAAAATTCAAATTTCTTATTTTTCCTTGGAAATGGGATGTCTGTGCGAACGAGTCGAAAATATGGAGTAAACTTGAAAAGGCGAATAATGATCAGACGCGTGACGCACTTTTCAGACTCAATTATCTCGCGAAGCATTCGACGAGAAAAAGTTTATTCCACGTTTTCAGTTCGTTCTACCCGCCAGTATTTTTTTTTTCGTTTATAATACACAACACGATCGTAACGTTTGATTACGAAATTCTTAAAATCAATTTATCGCGCCGTAAACATTATACACTCCGCGAATCCGTAATTAGCGGGCGAAAAAAAAAACGTTTTATACACCATTTTTCATGCAAATCCGAAAACTCCATATTCTGGCCAGTTTTTCTGGATTCCGTTCCATTGTTCGTTGCCTCCAAAAATGTGTGTTTTCCAGCGGCGCTAAAACAGTCGAGATTGTAGTTTACGTTGCTTCAAGCATCCCCAACGACGGATACAAACAACTTGCGTCAATGGTGGAAATCATGAATCTGGAAGTCGGGCTCGGTTACCAGAATTTTTACGAAAAAACGAACAAAGGAATAGGGAAACGGTAAAGACCGATCGAAGTGGCTTGTTTTTTAGCAGAACGCTCTGCATCGCGATAACAAATAATTGGCCGGTGGAGTACGACTTGTCGCGACCAAAAGAATCGTGTTTGTTTCCTCTTGATGTTAGGGATGGGTTTGAAATCGGTTAAGAAAAATCGGTATTTTAGTGGGCGGTTACTCGGGAAATTATGTACTCCGTGGGATTCGCCTCGATTACTCGCTGACCTGGCACACTTGACCTTCTTCCGGCGGCCGGGATATGCGAGAAAAACGCCAGATAGACGAGTACGATAACGGGAAAGTTAGTTCCCGATCGTCTAAGGGAGACTTCACCTGCATTTTGCTTAGACCAGGGAAGATTAATCAGCGATTTCGCGGCCGTTAATACAGCTCGCGCACGGTCCCCTAATTGGCCCGGCGATTATCGGGTTCCCTTGTTTCATCAAAAATCGAATAAGTCAAACAATCAGCAGCCCAAGCATGGTTTATCTTCGTCTATCGTTAAACGTTTGTGCTCCGATACCGGATCAGTAACATCGATTGACCCGAATTATTTTAAGTTTTTATAATCGTACATATCCTATTTTCGAATTCTAACGAGTCTCCTGTACAATTATTGGCCAACGAAACCGTACACAGAGATTCTGATCTTTATAGAAACGAGTCGCGATCGATTTATATCGCACAAACACATCGTTTCTGGAACAGTGATTCAACCACCGACGATTCCGATAAATAATTCAAAATTAGAAATATTTTAAATCGTATGCAAAACAAATTTCTAGCTCTGTACGCCCGCGTACCCGGGAATTATCATTTGATGAATTTATAATACCTTCCGCGAGGCAGATTATGTATTCGCGCCATATAATCCAGCATAACTAGTAAAATATGGCATTCTCGTACGTATAATCTGTGAAACCGCATTCGGATGTATTTGTAATTTTGAGGTGTACTCCGACGCGCGCAATAATTCGCGAAAAACAGTTTTATCGATTTTATCGCCGATCGTCGGCTCCGAAAATCGCTTATATATGGTCAATTATTACAACAACATATTCGTGACTGAAAATGAAACAATTCCTAGCACGAATTTAAAAAAAAAAAATATATAAAATTAATAAAAGTCGATTTCAAGTTTAAGTAACGAACCGTTTGTATCCCCGTTTCTATAATTTGTCCCAAATTCTTAAAATTGCTCCATGGGGTAATGTAAGATTACATTCACCATAATTTCGCTTTAAAGATTGGCAATTACGATTGGACCGTGATTGAACGTTAATTACCGGGCGTAATCGTATCCCGACGAACGTAATCAGATTATGATTTGCTCGACAGAGTGCTCGCGTGCCCCGCGCTCGGTTCGAGCTCGATTATCTCGCGAACGGAGCGTCGCGGAAGGTAAATCCCCCCTGCGTTTTCGACGCGTTTTTTCGCGTAGAATCTACTCACGGAGCCGCCATTCATCCCGGTGGCCGGGACCCGGTTCAAAATGTCCCGTAGTTTTCGGGCGCGCGCGTCCGTCCCTCTGTTTGCCGTGGCGGGGGGCGTCGGGACGGCGTTATTAAAATTACGCGCGGCTTAGCGTCGCGACTCGTTCCTTTCGCGTCGGGAATTTTAAGTTCCGACGGCGTTTTCCGTGAATAACGCCGGATAAGCACGTTACGCGTACGAGATGGCGCTACGTGCGCGGACGTCTACGTGAATTCACGGGGAACGAGCAAATCCCGGATAAGTACAGATATTATAGGTGTGCGTATTACATGCGACTCGTTGCGCAGATACATTCGCGTGATTTGTTGCATTTACGGCGGCGGAACGTTCCACGCTCGTTGCTGGGACTGCGTTAATCGGCTGCGGGCGAAAACGCGACGTGCTCCGAGGCGGGGCTGATAATTCCCGCGAACCGACCGAACCTCGGTCTCGTTCCGCGAACGATCGAAAAACTAAAGGGCCAACGTCCACGGACGACAAATTCATTCATATAACGCCAATGGAACACGAATACCCGCGATCCAACGCGGTATTTAGGCGTCCAAACAGGGTACGAAACGCGGGTTCCAGAAACTAACGAAAGTACATCTTTTCGATAACTGATAAAGATATTTAAATTTGTCTACGATAGAATATTTGTTCAACACCAAGTATCTTCGACATCAATATTTAATTAAAAATAAA